GAGGAGGCGGCCCGAGCTGCCGAGCGGGAGGCCAAGATCGACCAGTGGAGAGCCAAGTGCATCCAGGAGGTGGAGGAGAAGAACCGGGTACGGCCCCTGAGCGCTTCGGTCCTGGCAGCCCCGGGTCCTGGCCTCCCGGGGCCTCCTGCGTGTCCCTCTGGGGGCACAGGGAGCTGGGAGAGACCTGCCGGTAACGGGCTTGGGCCCCGCGGTTCAGTAGGTGCCACCCGCATGGGCAGTGCTTGCATGGAAGCGCTCTCTTTCCGAGGCTCACAGCCCTGCTTCTTCCTGACAAGCTTTGGTGGGCATCCCAGCTTTGCCACGCTCATGTCCTGGGCTTTGGCAGTTGGGGTTTAAGTGGTTTCTGAGCTCTGGGTTGCATGTGGAGATCTTCCTCCCTGGTCCCAAGCTGTCAGCCTGCCCTACGCTGCTCACGGCAAGCCTAGAGCATTCAGTGCCATTTCAGTGACTGTAAACCTTGCCTACAGGCTGCGTCCTTGTCAGGCTGCTTCTTTGCAAGCTTTTTGGTCTGACAGGGAAGTAAAACAGCTTCAAATTAAAAAAAAAACCCCAAACAAAACAAACCAACCTACAACCCACCCCAAATTAGGCTTGTTGGGAAGGGCTGTAGGCACCTTTGTGTTGTTCCCTTCTGCAGGTGCTGGGCTGCTGCTGGGATGGTCCAGAGCAGCTGTTGGGAAAGGTTTTGTGTACAGAATGTGGCACTTTAATGTTCTTTAATTACCAAGCTGTAGAATCGGGATGGTTTATGTTCATTGTCTGGTTTTTCTAATTTTCTGTGGTTAAAGGTTATCAGGCTTTATGAATTCCTTAGCTTTTTGGCCCAAATTCACGAGTTGCTCAGTCTTCCTTTAATATTTCCTGAAGTTTTGTCACATTTTAGCTTTTTCATAAAAAGGCCAGGTTGGATGGTTGACTTAACTTGCTATGTCTGTGTTACTAGAAAGTTATTTCTGATCTCCAGTTCTTTGTTAATCTTTTTGAAAATACCATTTAATTCTTGTCTGCCTGGGATATTTCACCTGGTCTGTTTCTTTCACAGGAACAAGAACTGAAAGCTGCTGCAGACAGCGTCTTGTCTGAAGTGAGGAAGAAACAAGCAGACACCAAGAGGATGGTGGACATCCTGCGTGCCTTAGAAAAGCTTCGCAGACTGAGAAAAGAGGCTGCTGGCAGGAAAGGTTAATGAGGAGGTTTTTACCAAGCTTTTTTTTTTAGTCATGTACCCAGGAAATAAGATGATGTGTGTGCCCTGCACTGACTTGAAAAAGCTGTTTCTTTCTTAGTGATTTTAGTTACATTGTTATGCAAGAATAGCTAAAAAGCGTTGAATACAGTGATAATGTTCCCACATTTCCAAGTTCTTTCTTGATAGAAGGGCTGGAGCACCTCTCCTATGAGGACAAGCTGAAAGAGTTGGGGCTGTTCAGCCTGGAGAAGAGAAGGCTCCAGGGAGATCTTATAGCGGCCTCCCAGTACCTGAAGGGGCTACAAGAAAGCTGGGGAAGGACTTTTCATAAGGGCAGTTAATGACAAAACAAGGGGAAATGGGTTTAAACTGAAAGAGGGGAGGTTTAGATTAGATATTAGGAAGAAGTTCTTCACTGTGAGGGTGGTGAGACACTGGAACAGGTTGGCCAGAGAAGCTGTGGCTGCTCCTCCCTGGAAGTGTTGAAGGCCAGGTTGGATGAGGCTTTGAGCAACCTGGTCTAGTGGAAGGTGTCCCTGCTGATGGCAGCGGGGTTGGGACTGGATGATCTTCAAGGTCCCTTCCAATCCAAACCATTCTATGATTCTATAATTTTTCCAGTAAGATAGTTGTTAGCAAGGTTAAGCTCGTGTTCCTCTGAGATTTTGCCAGCTCTGCTCTCAAGTCTGATACCAGAGCCTCCTCTGAATTTGAAAATTTAAACTTAATTCTCTTCTTCTTCAGGTGTTTGTCCACCCCCCTCAGCAGATGAAGCGTTTGAAAGTCAGGTGGAGAGTCTCAAAACGTTGCTCAAAAATCGCACAGAGCTGTATGAAGCTGAGGAGAGAGCGTTGAGAGTTATGTTGGAGGGAGAACAGGAGGAGGAAAGGAAGAGAGAAATGGAAAAGAAACAGAAGAAGGAAAGGGAAAAACTGCTACAGCAGAAACTGGAAATTGATTCCAAGCTGTTTGGAGATCCAGGTACGTTCTGTGTGCTGTGCTTAACGGTATTTTTCCACACCACATCCCCATTTCAGGCACTGGGTTTAAAATGCAGGCACAAAAATAGTTGAGAAATGATTTGCTGGAGCAATTTATGCTCTGAGGAAAAGATGGGATAAGTGTAGGATGCTGTTAACACACGTGATGTGAGAACTCTATGCTGTTTAACTCTTCAGCACAGACTGCAGTATATCTCGAGCTGATTTCATGCTGTTTTGCAAGGAGAGATTGTGGATTAAGCTGAAATGAGAATAAACAGAATAGACTGAAGACTCCCAGCACCCAACAAAGTACTTTAGTCTGGTGATTTGGGAAGTGTGACTCAGGTAATCTGTAAAGATTCGGTGTCCGTACATCCCCCTTGTTTAGAGGATGGAGGCAGGAAAAGTTTTGCCTCTGACAGCTCTGGTAAGGATGAGGAGATGTGCAGAATGTGTAAATAGTCGTTAATATATTATATAGGGAAGTGCTTCCAAATTATAGCTGGGGAGTAGCAAAAGAGTTGGCAAATTTGGGGCTTCTAAAACTTTCCAGAATCAAAAGTCTCTCTGATTTATTGCCCAATTTCTATGTTTGTGTTTTAACAGAAGAATTTCCTCTAGCCCATCTATTGCAGCCCTTCCGAGAGTATTACTTACAAGCTGAGCATTCTGTAGCAGCTCTAATCCAGATCAGGTAAAACCAAACAAAGTCTTTTTATTTTATTATCAAAGATGACAAGTGCTGTTTGTTAAAGTTGTAAAATTACGGTGCCTTTTGGTTCGTTTACTTCCAAATATGGTTATGCAACGAATTGTCCTGGTTTTTGTCAGCTAAGGATCAAGCTTCTCGCTTGACAGAGTTGGATCCAGCAGATGCCTGTGTGAGGCAGAGCCCAGTTCCATGCCTAACCATTCCATTTAATAAAACAGTCCATACAATTTTCACTGTTGTGTTTGGAGAAACAAGTTTCAGAGTTCAATTTCTAGTGTTTTATGTATTGATCAGTATGGAAAAAATACCTGCATGGGGATATAATAAATGTTAATTACCAAACTTGTACCAGCTCTCCTCTCAAACAACCCTTTCTCTGTTAAAGGCATGAATGGGATCAGTTCTTGGTGCCAGCTGATCACCCTGAAGGAAGCTGCATCCCTCCAGGATGGGTTCTTCCCAGTCTCCCCACGAATGACACTTGGGCCACGGCTGTCAGATAATTTAGTCATAAATTATGTTAACGTTGGAGGAATGTTTGGTTATAGTCACCTGTGTGAATACAAGAGGGTCTGAAAAGGAAGTCTTATCCTCTTATTTCAGTAGCCAAACACTGGAATGTCTTGAAGAAAAGTAAGAAATGTTTTTACCATCTCACTCTGCAGGGAAATACCTGAAACAAGCCCAAAGCTGCTCTCTCCTGGTGTGGAATTACAACCCCACAGCGAGTTTTTGTTAACAAATCTCCATCTTAATAAAGAAGCGTTGCTGACAAGGATACTCGTGCCAGTATTAACATCCTGGTGTTAGTGACTTTTATCTTTTGAAGCCTAAATCCAGATGATAAAATTTCAGATATAAAGAACTTCAGGAACAAAGAGATCATTAGTAAACATGTTTTTCTTCTTAAATGAAGCATGTCAAGCATTGCTGTCTAAACAGTTTCTGTGTTTTTATGTGTAGAAACAAACCTCTTACAAGTTCAAACAAATGCTGAAGTACAAACAAGACATGGGTCTTCAAGGTTGATTAAAGCAGCTGTTGACATCTTGCTTTTTGGGGACTGAAAAATGGGGATGAAAAAATTCCCAGTTGTGGTGAAATAGGTCAGGCAGCCGTGTGAATATAGATAAATTTGATTAATAAGCCTGCTGGGGAAAAAAATAAAATAAAATCTTAAGTCTAACCTACTGTAATTGGTTTTGCTTATATAGCTATTTGTGTATAGGGCCAGCTCCTGTATATAATATTTGATTAAAAACTACAGCTCTATTTTGTAAGTTGTTTTTTGTACAGAATAAATAGAGAAAAAATGATATTTTTTAAATTTTATTTTTGTTTGAAGCATTTTTACTCCAAGTAAGAGATTTGGTTTAGTACTTGGCATCAAATCCAACTCCGATGTGGAGAGAATTGCTGGCAAAAGGTTGGTGTGAAGGAACTTCTCCCTCCTACAAGGTGACAGAGGCATCTGATTTCAAGACTTTCCATGTTGTGGAGAGTTTGTTTGAAACAGCGACGGGCCACGTGGCTTTGGGGCTTTGCTGCTCTGTGCAGATTATTGTGGCATCTTTCCAGAGCTGCAGTCGTTATTCTTGCTTAGCCCTAACGAGTGGGAATGGGTTTAAATCTTTCTGATTCCTTACCTCTTGGCATCACAATATTGTGTAATTAATGGAAGAGGCAACATGTAATTGCCTGAATTCAACACTGGGGCCTTACACGTAACGTTAATATTTTCTTAGCTGAAGCTTTGCGTTGATTTCTGTTGTTAACAGCACATGAACTAGTAATTTTTGATCGGATTAGAATTAATCTGAGTGCAGAAGTTTGTGGTTCTTGCTCACCTGTGTATTACCTCCCTATAGCACCCCAAAATCCAGATTACCATGGAGTCCTCCGGGGGTCAGGGCTCTGATTTGTACGTCCGTGTGTCCTGCTGTCACTTTGACCATGGCATTACTCCAAGACCTGTGGCTGGATCAGACTCTGGGGAGTTTTACCAGGTGAAAAACCAACAGTTCCAATCAAAAGAACTGCAGAAACAACACTTTCAGTTCAGGAAGCTTAGTGACCAGAGGATGCTCTGCTTAAATAGTTGGGCTCCTTATCCCATCAGCGTGTCTGATGAGACAGGCTAACGGCTTAAACTGCGATAATCCTAGAACTGGCCCAGACAGATGCTCCTCTGACGCTGCGAGAATAGAAAGAACTGAGCAGCAGATAAACAGGCAGCATAAAAACAACCCTGTTCTCCCTGCCCTGCGAGAAGAGCTCCATGACTTCATCTGACGGTAAGGATAACTTTATATTAGAGTTAATAAAAATAGGACTTGAAAATGCCGGTGGGATGATGTATGATTAGCTATGTTTCAATCTCTAGCTTTCTGTGGTTTGTTGGAGTTATTTGCTCTTCTCTAATGACATCTGCATTAAAATGTTGTATATTTTTATGGAGATGTTGAAGCCACGGGTGGAAGAAGAATGTTTAAACTCTTAACTTGTAAAATATATGGAGATGGGGTATTAATTCTTAAAAAACCTGTGTGTATTCAGATTTAAGATTCAAATTTGTCTGAGTATGGTAGTTTCTTACTATTTTTAAGTTTTTAATAATTATTATAACCCAGGAGAAAAGAAGGGTTGGCTCTGAGTTTCTGAGACTCATTTACATCCTATTCCTTCCCAGGTCCCAGGGCTGTTTGGGTTTCTCCTGCTTTTAAGGCACATCCTCTTCCTGACAGGAATTCATTCATTTGCCAGCCTGTGTCTGATGTGGAAGCAGACAGGGCTGGTGTGGAGCAGATGAGGTCAGAACCTTTGTAGGAGTTGCTTTCTGGTATAAGTTGGTGTTTACCCCTCACCCTCTTTTATTCTTGTCTAGTGGCGTTTGCGTTGTCATCGCTCCTCAACCCCAAGATATTTCTTTTTTCTGAATAGCTGTTTGGGGAATTAACACTTTGTTAGAGCACAGTATTTATGCAGTGAAATACAGCGAGATACAGCATTGGAATCTCTCTGTATTTCCTTCATCCTGGCTTCAGACACATTCACTACCCTTCCTCATCCTTTAACTCACACAGAATCCCGGAATTGCCTCAATTGGAAAAGACCTTTAAGATCATCAAGTCCAATCATGAACCCAACACTGACAAGTCCCCGACTAACCCATGTCCCTCAGCACTATGTCTACACGACTCTTCAATCCCTCCAGGGATGGGGACTCCACCACTGCCCTGGGCAACCCCTTCCAATGCCTCAGAACCCTTGCAGCAAAGAAATTCTTCCTCACATCCCATCTCAACTGCCCTTGGAGCAACTTGAGGCCATTTCCTCTTGTCCTGTCCCTTGTTCCTTGGTTCAACAGACTGACAGAGTGGCATTTAAAACCAAATCAAGCTGTTCTAGGTGATGGAGGATGAGATGCTCTTTTCCTTTGCACCTTTTTACGGCGCAGCTTTTGGGAAGGTCCATCCCTCCTGCAGCTCCACGGCCACGCAGCGCAGTTGGAGAAGGCTGGGGGAAGGCAGCTTCGCTTAGAGATGTTTCCGTGCGTTCTCTTTGTCAGCGCTGACGTGAGTTGTAACTTGGGCTGAGCCCTCTTAGGCTGGGAAGCAGATGGCCTGGCTCCGTGCAGGCTCCCAGCACGTTGCATGTGTGGCGTGTTAGCAGCAGGACACGTGCGGGAGCTGCAAAGCTGGTTAGGGGCTCTGCCCGCGCCGCAGCCCCGGGTATTAAAGGCTCCCAGCGTAAGCAGGTGAGCAACAAATCTTCTGTAATTCTGATAAGACCAACTGAGTTGCACGGAGTGATTGTGTGTGTTGCTCTTTGTTTGTGGTCTGGGAGCAGTTTGTTAGTCCTTTGCTAACACAGGAAACTACCTTGAGTGCCATTTCCCGTTACAGACCCTTATTTCTGTGGTTCTTGCTTACCTGTGTATTACCTACCTATAGCACCCCAAAATCCAGGTTACCATGGAGTCCTCCGGGGGTCAGGGCTCTGATTTGTACGTCCATGTGTCCTACTGTCACTTTGACCATGGCATTACTCCAAGACCTGTGGCTGGATCAGGCTCTGGGGAGTTTTACCAGGTGAAAAACCAACAGTTCAAATCAAAAGAACTGCAGAAACAACGCTGCCACTAACAGGCAGCTTTTTTTTTCCTTGTGTACATTCATCTGCTTGTTTTCTTTTTGTGGAGTGTTTATTCTCATTGTCATAAAAGCCACTTCTTTTTAAAGGGAAAAAAAAACCCCAAACCTATGGGTTTTCCTATGAGAAAAGCATTTATGGATCTCACACCAGGTATTGACTCTATGTCTTGAGAATGGCTGCTGAGGATTGCTGCTTTGGGATGAGCAAGTACAGGCTGCAGGTACCAGAACTTGATGGAATCTCAGCTCTTGCCAGTTAACAATGTATAAAGGAAATGATTTTACATGCTGTTGTCACTGGGGAGCTGAGGACTCGAGGCTTTGTGCAGCAAGGAGTGGCTTTTTACTAAATTGAAGCATTTATAGAGAGCTGATGGCTACACTCTTGCAGTCGTATTTTCCATGCCACCATTCTCAGTTTATCAGAAATTTTTCTCTCCCTTGCTTTTCCTCATCTAAAAACTTCACCACACTTAAAATGAATAGAATCATAGAATGGTTTTGGTTGGAAAAGACCTTTAAGACATCATCATTAATCATAAACCTCACACTGCCAAGTCCACCACTACACTATATCCCTCAGCAGCACCATGTCTACGTGTTTTTTAAATCCCTGCAGGGATGGTGACTCCACCATTTCCCTGGGCAGCCTGTTCCAATGCTTGACAACCCTTTTGGTGAAGAAATAGTTTCTAATACCCAATCTAAACCTCCCCTGGTGCAACTTGAGGCCGTTTCCACTTGTCCTATTGCTTGTTACTCGGGAGAAGAGACCGATAGATGGTTCTGAAAAGCTGATCTGGTAAAATGGCTTGTTCGACATCCCTCTGGCACTGAAGCTTGGCTGATGCACCAGCCTCCTTGTCTGGCTCTCTCAAAGCTGCTGTGGTGCTGGAGGGGATGCCCTCGTCCCCAGCTCCCCGGGCACGGCTTAGCAGCACGCGGCCACACGCATGAGCTCTCCAGTCATGGGCACTTGCAGGACACGCAGAGAGAGGAGACCTGTGAGGTGTCCTCCTTGTTTCTGCCTCTGTAACTGGAAAAAGTGTTTGGACTGTCCCCAGCTTGGGAAAGGGAGCGTGTGATGGGCAGTGCAGGGAGAGGGAGAGGCAGGAAGAGGGATGGAAAGCAGCAGGGCATGCATGGAGGTGGAAGTGGAAGAGAAAAACGCTCAGGCTCTCTGCCAAATGAAGCTGTAAGCTTGGTCAGGTCCTGCTGCCTCAAGCTCAGAATAGCAAAGGTTGGTTCAGACAGATCTTCTCAAGATCAGTAATTAAGATTTTGCACATCTGGGTGTTGCACACAACGGTTTTTACTTGGCTGGCAGCATCTCTTAAGGGCTGCATCACTTGAAACAGCTCATCTTTCTCTCCTTCCACCCAAATTAAAAGGTGCTACTCCTGCCTTTTACACTTCTCTTTCATTTCTTCCTCCAGCAGCAAGAAGTCAGGCAGCAGCGATGAGCTACCTGGATGAAGTTCCCTTCCGGACAGCCAGGAGCCTCGATGGGGACTCAGGGGGAGAAAACAATTTAATCACAGCCCCAGACATAGAGATCCCCAACTGCGCCGACATCCTCATGAGCACCATGGTGAGTCACCCACCTCTGCTTCTGTCTGCACCTGGATTTGGTTTTTGGGGGGATGCAAAAAAAGAAATAAGAGAAGGGAAACCTTATAGCGGCCTCCCAGTACCTGAAGGGGCTACAGGAAAGCTGGGAAAGGACTTCTCATAAGGGCAGTTAATGACAAAACAAGGGGAAATGGGCTTAAGCTGAAAGAGGGGAGGTTTAGATGAGATATTAGGAAGTTCTTCACTGTGAGGGTGGTCAGACACTGGAACAGGTTGCCCAAGGAAGTTGTGGCTGCTCCTCCCTGGAAGTGTTGAAGGCCAGGCTGGATGAGGCTTTGAGCAACCTGGTCTAGTGGAAGGTGTCCCTGCTGATGGCAGGGGGGTTGGAACTGGATGAGCTTTAAGGTCCCTTCCCACCCAAACCATTCTATGATTCCATGATTGTTTTGTACTCTGGAATCATCACCATCTCATTTAATAATATTTATTAAATATTTATTAATAAATCTAACAGAGATGTAAGCAGACAACACTACCTGTGCTGACAACATACTTATATTTTATATGTACAAATACATATATTTTATCTATATATAAAAAATACATATTTTTATATTTTTATGTATTTTATATTGTATATATAATATCCTGTGGCACTTTGTGATCTTCCATATTGTTCAATCCTAAACTGCTTTTAAATCTACTGCTATAACAGCTTTGCCACCAATTTTACCCCCCAGCACAGCGATTTGAAGGAGCTGTCTGTGCTCTGGGAAGCCTTTCCCTGGACATTTGCACTGGAGACACGGAATTGACTCTCTGGGCTTAGGGGTAGTGCT